ACCCTTGGATAGAAACTTAAGCAACTAGATGTTAAGAATGCGTTTCTCCATGGCCATCTCAAAGAAGAAGTGTTCATGGCACAACACTGTTGGGAAATTGAAGACCTTGAATAATTTCCCCTTCCACTGAAATATCCAAACACAACCAAAATATATGAAAATAGGAAGAAAACTGTAAAAGTACAAGAATAACGACACAACAAATTATACTGGTTCACCACTAAGGACTACGTCCAGTCTTCCACTCCGATGTGGGTAATTTACTAATAACTGTTTAAGGATTAGAATACAAAACTCTCCCCAAAAAATATCCCCTAGAGGTCCCAACAAAATCTCTCTAGCTTCTAAGTATTATAACACACTATACTTAGGTAAAAGAATGAAAAACACTCACTAAACCCACTGGATACAGAATCATTTTCAACACTGCCTACAACCACTCAAGTCTCTTTTATTTGGATTATGTACAAATGAAACCTTAACATAAGGGCTCTATTCATAAGAGGCCAAATATCCTAATTCTTATAGGAAAACAATATTGTATTCCTTATAAGACAACAATATCCTACTCCCGGTAGGAATTGGTAATAGTGTTGAAAAATCCTTTTCTTCATAGGACATGTGTTTCCTGTTTTTGCTCCATAATCTCAACAATGTCCCACTTGGAGACAAAGCAACAATTTTCTGCCTCCCACTGCATCAACAATGTTCCATTATCTTGACACCCTCTGTCAAGGCACAGTTCTAACTCCTCCATCAACAAACTGATCAATATTGCTTGGCCCTACCCAAGCATCATCTGACTCTGCCCCGAGACTGGGCAGCTCTATGTGGTCTTGTCCCCCAGACTTAGAGACAGAGCCACGTACTCCCACTTGATCTAAGTGGTCCCCGTCGCTTCCTTTCTCGATCGAACCCAACGACCTCTGAAGAAAGATTCCCCTGATGACTTGGCTCTCCCACCCAAGTCTGTCGCCACACTAGAAATAGAACCCGTACCCTTCAATGCACTAATTCGCCTATTTGACTTTACCAGCTCGCCTGAACGTCTGACAGTTGAGGTATGAACTCGATGGCCTATCAAATTATCGTTTCCCTTTTCTGTACTTCTCAACTATTTTACTTGAGCTGATGGAAAATTATTCTAATCTGTTCTGGCCATCAATGCTGCTGATTCTCTAAGGTCTCGCCCTGAATCATCTGCAGCTACTCTGTGCATAGTCTGTCTCAGTGAACCCTTGGCAACCTCAAATTTCGACACATAAACAGAAGATCTCTTGTGGCCTGTTGCCACCACCCTGGATTCCCTCTTGAGCTTCCAGTAACCCCCACTAAACTCACTGCTGTAGTCATCGTCATCTAGCTTCCCTGCGGATAACAAATTAAATCTTAAGCTAGGAATATACCTGACGCCTTGTAGCACCAACTCGGCCTCTTCGCCTGTCTTCAAACAAATATCTCCAATTCTTCTCACCTTGGAGATACTCTCATTCCCAATCTTCACTGAACCATAACCACCTACAGTAAGAGATGAGAACCAACATCTGTCTAATGCAACGTGCACTGATGCTGCAGTGTCCACGACCCACTGGTCTACAAATATGTTCCTCTGTGATGGAATTCACTCCTCTCCGGTTTTAGGGGAGTAGATGAGTGTTTTCTTAAATGCTGACTCCAGGATTTGAACAAGGGGCCCCACCCTCTCATTGGCCCGAGAGGGACTTCCGGTTATTGGTCGGACCATAACCAGGTTGTTCATTAGAGGAGCAGTGGTATTTAAGGAGTAAGATGTAACTCAGGGGTAAAACGGTAATTGGACCCAACTTGAGTTACGAGCACTCGTGAAGGATTGACTTGTCATTTATGGTCGTATATCCATGGACACGAAAACATTCTGCAGTGAGAAGAGTGCAACTGCGGGTTTTTAGTGGAGTGACCCGTAGTTAACGAATGTTGATTAACTCAGTAAATGAGTTTGATCGATTAATCTCGTATCGTTGGAGCTTCTGATTTGTGGGTCCATTAGGTCCCCTTGCTAGCTCAAAACGGGTAAAACGAGGATCAAGTTTTTGGAAGAATTTGAACTGTTCAAATTACTTAAGGGATTATATGTATATTGATACATTATAATATATAGTTAATTCTAAATTAAAACTATATATTATGAGAGAAATTATTTGAATGAGATTCAAATAAAATTAATATGAATATGATTCATATGAAAACTATAGGTTATAAATTAATGCACACAAGATGTACATTAAATCTATAGGTTATACAAGAGAGAATATGGTTTGATTAAATATGAGATATTTAATTAAATGTTAAATAATTAATTGTTAATTATTTAATATTACATTTAATTAATTTGACTAATAATTATTTAATATACATATTAACTATATTAATTAATTAATTAATAAGTAACTCCCCTGCATTTTAGCAGGGGAGTGGGGAGTTTAATGACGTGGGGGTAACTCCCCACGTCATTTGGTTTTTTTTGGCTTTTGTATGCAGAAGTATTCTGCAGAAATGAGAACAGAAGAAAAAAGAACTCCCAAGGTTTCCTCTCTCGATCAAGCTCTCTCTCTCAACTCTCCCTCACATTCCAAATCACTGCTCCCACAAGCACGATCTTGAGACCCAAGAGGATAGCACAAAAGATCGTGTGGTGGTGTCAGGAAATCATTGAAGAAGAGTTTTTCAAAGGTAAGGAAAACAAGTTTTTCCCCTGTATTTTCCTTCTTGAACAATTTGATTTTGTTTCCCAAAAATCATGAACGATGGTCCGCTTCCGCTCCGGGAATCACATCCCTTCACTCTAAACACAAGCGACAAACTCTTCAATCTGTTCTTCTTCTGTTACAACATTTGCAATAGTGTTCCCCTTCTCAACATCTTCTTTGAACTTTCTACAGAAACGTTTCACGTGTCCCTTCTTGTGGTAGTAATAACACTCTACTTCTCCAGTGGAATTCCCTCTATCCCTACTGCTTCCCATTGTAACTCATCTTTGTCTTCCCTTTGTTCTGAGCTACCAAAGCTGATTCAACCTCGTATTCTTCCCCTGAAGTAGATGCAGACATTTTCCCTAATTTTCTCCGGGCTTCCTCAGATATGGCGACATCACAAATAGCTGAAAAATTCAAGCTATTTTTCCCTAGCGAATTCGACACCGCGGTCTTCATCGTCTCCTAATTGTCAAGCAAAGACGTCAACAATCTCATAGCTTTCACCTCCTCCTCAATCTTGACACCCATCTCTTCTAACTTGTTCAAGATATCGTTGAGTTCATTAATGTGGGAATTCACCGAGGTTCCTCCTCCATGTGGATATTAAAATATTTCATCCATAGAAGTATTTTTGTATTGGCAGAAGGTTTTCCATACCTGGCTTGCAAGGCCTTCAACAAATCTTTCGTTCTAGTCTCTTTCGCCACCAGACTACAAACATTCATTGATAATGCCATTCTGATGTTTGCAATGGCCTGCTCATCCATCTCATTTCAATCCTTGTCTACCATCCCTGCTGGTCTCTCCCCTAAAGTCTTGTGTATCTTCTTGCCCGTAAGAATATCCTTTACGCATCTTCCAAAAACTGAAATTCTCCTCATTGAACTTCAGGACCCCTTCATAATAATGGTGTGCTTGATATCTATCACCCATGATGCTGCAACCTTACAACTTTGATACCAGTTGTTGGGAAATTGAAGACCCTGAATAATTTCCCCTTCCACAGAAATATCCAAACACAACCAAAATATATGAAAATAGGAAGAAAACTGGAAAAGCACAAGAATAACGACACAACAAATTATACTGGTTCACCACTAAGGACTACGTCCAGTCTTCCACTCCGATGTGAATAATTCACTAATAACTGTTTAAGGATTAGAATACAAAATTCTCCCCAAAAAATATCCTCTAGAGATCCCAACAAGTGGTATCAAAGCCATGGAAACCTAGTTGTGTGGAGGAGGAATCCTCGATGGTCGAACAAGAGTGATTGAGGTAAGCCTAATTAGTCATTACGGAACTTGTGGATGAATCTCTAGATCGAACAAAAAGTGCTCGGGGTGGTGAGCCAAGACGTGTTCTGTGCTCGGGTGACGAGCAAGACATGTGCCCTATCAAGTCGGGGTAGATTGGTAGGAAGCCTATCACAGTCAGGTAGATTGATAGAAAGAGTGGGGTATCTTTGTTCGAGGGGAGGATATTGAGGGTGCGATAGAACGACACCAGGTGTTCCCACAAGGTGGTCCGTGTAGCAAGTGTTCTATCCGGATGCTAGATAGAAGGAGGCTCTCGTTCCCAACCGGAAGTAGATTAGTGCATGACTATTCGAGGCAAGATACGAGTGGCACTTTGTTCGAGGGGAGGATTGTTGGATTTGTAAGGAGTGCAAATAAAGTCCCACATTGGCTAGGGAAGAGAATAATCATGGGTATATAAGAGAGGACAATTATCTCCATTGGTATGAGACCTTTTGGGTGGAACCAAAAGCAAAGTCGTGAGGGTTATGTCCAAAGCGAACAATATCATACCATTGTGGAGATACTCGGGGTACAAGGGGTACCGTTGTCCTTAACAAGCACAACCTCCCGGCTTCGTACATCCTCATATGCCGCAACATATATGCAAGCTCAACAAATCCTTGGAACCAAAAGCAAAGTCGTGAGGGTTATGTCCAAAGCGAACAATATCATACCATTGTGGAGATACTCGGGGTACAAGGGATACCGTTGTCCTTAACAAGCACAACCTCCCGGCTTCGTACATCCTCATATGCCGCAACATATATGCAAGCTCAACAAATCCTTATATGGATTAAAACAAGCCCCTCAGGCTTTGTTTGAAAAACTCTATCAATTTATTTTACATATTGGCTTCACCTGCTCAAAGCCTGATCCCTCACTATTCATATTCAAATTTGGAACCATACATATACTTATGCTTATTTATGTCGACGATATTATACTTACAGGAAATAAACCCACTCATATGGACAAACTTGTGAAACAACTTAACTTGGAATTTGCTCTTAAAGACCTAAGAGAACTTCACTACTTCTTGGGTATTGAAGTGCACCAAACTCATACAGGAATCATGCTAAGTCAAGAGAAACATGCCAAGGAGACTCTCACCAAGACCAAAATATTAGAGGCATCCCAACATAGTACTCCAATGGCCACCTCCACTTCTGCAACTCCAAGTGACAATGATCTAGTAGATGCTACTGAGTATAGAAGCATTGTTGGCTCTTTTCAATACCTCACTCTCACCCGACCTGACATCACATTTGCTGTAAACAAAGTGTGCCAACAACTTCAACAACCAAAAGTGAAAGATCTTACATCTGTTAAACGAATTCTATGATATTTGAATGGCACACTAGATTATGGTATCTCTTTCTATAAACATATATAGTTCTCCAAACTTGTATGCTTTTTGTGATGCAGATTGGGGAGGATGTTTGGACACTAGGAGAAGCATGACAGGCTTTTGCATATTTCTTGGGTTAAACTGCATCTCACGGGCCTCAAAGAAACAACCTACAGTAGTCAAATCTAGCTTAGAAGCAGAATATCGTGCCATGGCTATAACAATTGCATAATTGACCTAGATAACATTTATACTCAAGGACATTGGAATTCTAATCCTCAATACACCTCAATTATTTTGTGACAACATGAGCGCCTTACGCATGACCATCAATCCTGTGTTCCATGCCTGGACAAAACATATTGAGATGGACTATCATTTTGTAAGGAAAAATGTAGCATTGGGATCACTGATAACTCGTTATGTTCCATCTCATATTTAATTATCAGATATCTTCACCAAACAAGACAAATTTCAAGGAATTAAGAATATGTGGCTATATGCCTAATTCTCCTTTCTTGAAATCTTTCATGTACTGCTATGAAACCATAGGTGTACTCGTCCACCAAACCATGGGAAGATGCACTTTCTCATTCTCGTGCTCGTGAAAATTTTTAGTCCACCATCTTCACCTCGTTCTTCGGTTCGAGAATTAAGAAGCAGGCTAAAGAATGTTCATTTGGGGACGAGGATATTTGCGGGAAAAATTACTGATTTTGTAATTATTTTAATTATTTTTAGAGTTAAAATAAATTGTAATAAATATATATTTATTTTTAAAATTATTATTTACTATTATAAATAATTAGTTATAAAAAATATTTCATATTTTATTCACAATTTAGTAAATATGTTAATAAAATATAAATTAATTATTTTAAAAAATGGAATTTGGGACAGGTTTGGGATATGCATTCCCTATTTTTGGAGCAGAGATCCGATTATGCGGAAATTTTTATCATTCCTAATGTAGGGATACAAAAATACAAATTTGGACCTTGAGAAATTTTGGATAGATAAATAAAGAGATTTAGAAAAAGTAAATTAGTGAAACAAAATTTTAAAACAAAAAGGGACCAATTTTAGAGAAATATAGTAAAGTTGAGAGGAAAAGATACATTACAGAAAAAAAAGAAATTAGAAAGAAAAAGAAAATTATAGTGAGAAAAACAATTAAAGAAAAAACACGATTCGAAATATACTTCTTAGATAAAATAAATAAATTAAAAGATAAAGTCAAAATGATCTTGCTTGTGGGAGCTTTGTTTTTGGAAAAACAAAAGAGAATTGAGAGAGAGAGCTTGAGAGGATCCATCCAGGGGAAGTTCATCTACCTCGTTTTTGCAAAACCATTATGCACATAAAACGAGGGATGACTCCCAACCTCATAACCAACCTCCCACTCTCTGCAATTAAGCAGGGGAGTGTTAATATTAATGATAATTAATATTAATTATATTAATATTAATAATTAATAATTTCTATATATAATAATTAATATATATACTTAATTAATCTTATTAATTAATTAATATTTATTTGTTGTTAATCAAATTAACTATTAATTAATTAATTAATCAAATAAATAAATAATTAACACTTAATTATTTATTACAAAATTAGAATCATATTCTAAAACATTTCTCTCGTATAATCTATAGTCATAATGTACATCTTATGCACATTATTTTTAACCTATAGTTTTAATATGAATCTTATTCATCTTAATTTTATTTGAATCTCATTCAAAAAATTTCATTCATAATATATAGTTTTAATTTAGAATTAACTATATATGATAATGTATCAATATACACATGTATAATCCCTTGAGAAATTTGAACATTTCAAAATTTTCCAAATATTTGATCCTCGTTTTACCCATTGTGAGCTAGCAAAGGGACCTAATGGACCTACAGATCAGAAGCTCCAACGATACGAGATTAATCGGTCAAACTCACTAACCAAGTTAATCAACATTCTTTAACTACGGGTCACTCCATTAAAGACCCGCAACTACACTATTCTCACTGCAGAATGTTTTCGTGTCCACAGATATACGACCATTAATGGCAAGTCAATTCTTCACGAGTGCTCGTAATACAAGCTGGGTTAAATTACTGTTTTACCCTTAAGTTACATGTTACTCCTTAAATACCACTGCTCCTCTAATGAACAACCCGGTTATGGTCCGACCAATAACCGGAAGTCCCTCTTGGACCAGTGAGAGGGTGGGGCCCCTTGTTCAAGTCCCGGAGTCAGCATTTCAGATAACACTCATCTACTCCCCGAGAGTCGGGGAGGAGTGAATTCCATCTCGTGAAGTTATGTCCCCAACTCCCTACTCGGTCTCGTCCCCAAAATGGTAGGAATATTGAGTCAGCGATTCGGGCCACTCTTACCCATACATATCAAAGGACGAGCCCTAACGGGCAGGAGTCCATAACTCACTCAAGATTGAGAATGAGTTGTCTGGTCATCCTATGAAATAGCAATCTATTAGCCAACGACGTTATATCTAAAGATCGGCTATTTCATGGTCCGATCTTATACAAACTCATTGTATAGGATACCCCCACTCGCATGTCTCCACACGAACGACCTGGATCGGGTCGTATGTAACATTTACAAAGTGGGACGTATCCATAGTGTTGCCAGGATAAGGTACCCAACCTTATCTATATACTATAGACCTTTTAGGTTATTCCCGAGACATTATCCACTTGTATATCGAGGGTATATCAAATATATACCCAGTATATATGCTGTCTCGGTTACATGATAATAACCTTAGATGTTTAGTTTATTGTCTTTAAACAATGCAATGCTATGAATTCAAAAACAAATTGATTGAAGAAAGCTTTATTGAATATAAATTTGTTTTTACATAAATACAAACTACGAGTTTAGGGTAACACACCCAACAAACTCCCACTTGAACTAAACTCGAGTGATGTGTACATAATCATACAGCAACGAGGGAAATACAATAAACTAGGGCATACACTATACCCGTTACATTTCTCCCACTTGCCCTAGACTAATCGTACAATGCTTGTAGACCTAGACTTTCTAGATGACCCTCAAACATCTTAGCCGTGAGTGCCTTCATAAATGGATCAACAATGTTGTGCTCCGAAGTGATCTTTGTGATGATCACATCCCCTCGTTGCAGTATTTCCCGTATTAGGTGATACTTCCTTTTGATATGCTTGCATCTCTTGTGGCATCAACGCCCTAGGAATTTCACCATTTCCAAACAGGGACTGTACTAAGACTACCAAAAATTTTCACCTAAACAAGAGAATTATCTTCACAACAATACTAAGCAATAAAGCTACCACGCTTCTCCTGCGCTACTCTAATTTTCAACACTCACGAGAGCTTGAACAATTAGAACAACAACATTAAAAATTTAAGAGAAACTCACATCCTATACGGATAAACCATTTAATACCGACTTCACAATAACCAAACCCTTCAAGGAAACCTTTACTAACTATAAACAATCCACTAAAAGAATATTAACATCTCGAATGACAATGAAGCAAAAACTAATTCAAGTATGATCAACTTAAACAAATGTATTCATAAATATCCTCAGTAGGTTACAATTCCGTAGTTCAAGAAGCTAACAAAATTAATGCTCTAAAAAGAATAATGAATCGGCAACCTTACAACATCCTTTAGACAATAAAACTAAACAAAACCAACCACTAACAACTCAACTACAAGATTAAATGGCCACAACTATCCTAACTAAAAGAAATTATTTGCACGCAGCATAGCTACTGGTCTTTCCGATCAAGCCTCCTCCTCGCCATCACCATACCAAGAGCTAGCTCGATACCTGCAAACTGGAGGGGAAAAAAAGGGATGAGTACAACCACAGTACTCAGTAAGCTGCCCTTATCCGAAGGGTCATGCACAAACAGCATACTTATCAAGGAACAATGTGTCATGCTTATTAAAGAATCAACACACACACATCATGCTCAACCAGATCATGAAACATTCATAGTCATGTTTTTCATCACATTATGCATTCAAACATAGACACATTCTATAAAATTCGGTGACAACCACAACCAGGAACACATTAACTACCAACCTCTAGTCTCCCTAACATCTCAAGTACCTTTACGCTTATCACAGCTATTCTAGCCTTCCACAGTTAACTCCTTCGAGTAGAGTCGGCCCCTGACCATTTTTACCCAGGGCCCCGACACTGCTGCATCGGCCCTCGATCATTTATACCCGAGGCCCCGATGACTTCACCATCTATTGGCCCTTGACCATTTTTACCCAAGGCCCCAATAGTCTTCCTTCCAATGGACTCCTCGTATCGACCCTCGACCATTTTTACCCGAGGCCTCAATACTCCATTAGTGATGTATCAGCCCCCGACCATTTATACCCGAGGCCCTGACACCCACTCATTCATTTCCTCCAAGAATCCAACTCTCACCAGAGTCTTACTATCTACTTTCTTAAGCCACTACCCCTGCATCTTCCAACTCACAAATACAATTCAGCATGCTTCCACAACATATACAACATTCTAATAATGAAATGATAAACCAATCATGCTCTCTCAATATAACTTTTCTTAACAACGGCTCCACAATGGGTTTCGTCGCAACAAAGCATAACCAAACAAATTTTAAAACCATTGGAGTCCGACATGGTTCACCCAAAACACTTAATATCCAGCATCAATATTCAATAAGCATTACTAAGTATAATAACACGCAAGGCACGCCGAACAACGCATGCATACTCAGACAACAAACATTTCCACAACACTACTCAGCAGTTTAGCAAAGCAGAAACCTCACCATTTTCACCGACATCTATCCAACACTACTCCAAGTATACTGAATATCACAATGAGAGTTATTTAGCACAATGACGTAACAAAATTAATATATAACGCCACAAAACCGGCACATTAGAGTCCATTTAACATACATTAACGCACGCACACGCCCCTTGTCTACTTACTTTGTTATGTCTCAAAACTCTCACAAGAGTCCTACTT